CCAAAAGGCCTTCCCCGCCCCCCCCCCAACCCCCCCCTGCAATATTTAAAAAAACCCCCCCCCCCCCCCGCCTTCCCCGGGGATCAGCACGGAACGGCATGTCGAAGCTTTCCCCCAAAACTATGACGTCAGCCTTCCTTTGTTCCCCGTCCAGCAACACTACACCCTTCTTGGGAAAGCGAGGCGCCCGGTGGGACGTAGCCCCTCTGGTCGCGCAGAGACCCCAGGAAACACGGCCACAGTGCAAGACCAAAACAGAGGGAAAGACAGACCGGACACCGCCATGTTCCTCCTCACAGGAAGGCAATGTTCTCCAGCAGCCTCATAAGCGCTATTTGTCTGTAATGATTTCCATTTGAAAGGTCTCCGGAATGTCTCACCCCCACCTGGAAGAAGTGGTGGTGGTGGTGCGGTGGGGGGGGGGCTCCGCCGGTGTCACTCAGAACAATGCCTGATTGGCAGTGGTGGCGAGACCCATAAGCTCGTCGCCGGGGGCGACGGCAACTGCGAGGGACAATCGAGTCCATGGCTCCTGGTTCTCCTCGCAGCATCTCTCTCTTTCTCCACCTCCATCCCTCTCTACTTTTGTGCCCTGTGTCTCCTCTCTCCTTTCACGGTCTCCCTCTGTCGTCTGCCACCCGATTTCACCCCGGAAGATTATCATTCCGCCTGGGGAGGAGGGGGGGTCCTGAAGAGTCAAGGGCTGTTAGAGTGCGGCATGGGGGGGGGGTAAAGGAATTCAAGAGTAAGAGGCTTTGGTTCCGCCGACAGACACTAATTGGGGATTGGCCAAATCGCACGCTCGTCACCGTGCTTCTGGGCACAATGCGCAGCGATTGGTCCCAGGCCGATCCGTCCCACCAAGGCGGCGAGGGTAAACCGGGCAAATTCTTCTAGCCTTTCATCTCCACCTCTCCTCTTCAGGATCCACCTCTGTCTCAAAATCGATCTCCCCACTGTCGCTCGATGCGGGTCGCAGTCAAAACAGCACCGGCGGACCTGTCACACGCCTCGTCACCCTCCGACAGAAAGCAAGTTCTCGCTTTCCCTCCTCCCTCTCCTGGCTGGGACTCATCGGCAGCTCTGACACACTTAAATAGGTGTTAATTGTCTCCTCCCTCCCAGTAGCATCCCTCACTCCTTCCTTTCAAGTTGAAAAATCCAAAAAAAAAAACGAAGCTGAAAGTAACACACTTTCACGTCCCTTACTGCCACACGCTGTCCACCATTACGGCTGCCCTCCGGATTCCGGCCCCCGGCCCCCCTCTCAGTCCTGGCATGCAAAGACCTGCAAAAACACTCCGTTTAAACTTTAAACTTCAGAAATTCTGTACGTGTAGGTGCAGGTTCAGGCTCAACTTTAATGCCAAACTGCATCCAGGTTTAGAAAGATTCACTCCGAAGGTCAGGAGGCCACAAGGAATTTTTTTTTAAAAAAAGGAATGAACTGAATTTCTAAATATAAATAAAAGCCCTTTCAGGGCCGAGTGACAGATGCATCTGTTGACAAACGCCGTTTTTAGCAGGGCAGCTGGAGGAGCGTGCCGGCAGATTAGAGCGCGTGTAATCCCACGGAACCGCAGCGCGTAGACGGACGCTTATCATCTCATCCCGACAATTAGGGAGATCAGAGGGGCCCACCTCCACCTCGCCCGCACACCTGCAGTCCCACGCTGGTGGCGGCAGCGAGCACGTCCATTAGCGGGGTTAATTAAACGGGATTAATTAGCTTCTGGGTCCAAGGCTCTGCTGGATTCAGTGTTTTAACCTCTCATTCCTGTGCCCGCAACTGCCGATGCTGTTACACAGTAGGGGGCGCCATTCCGGCGAACGCCGCTTCGGAGGCGTCGCTGTGATTCTGCGACACACTCCGGCCCCCAATTTGCCGCCTAATTATCCCCGAAGGGGCTCATGGTGGATTCTCCATTCTGTCCCGATCGTTCCAGGAGATAAAAGACAGCCTCCCGTTTACGACAAACGGACGGTTCAAAAGTGCGTTATTGCAATGCGTTGTACAGCTCCACGCCGATCCTGCCGTAATTAATTAATGAGCCATTCTGCCTTAGCGGCAGGCTCGAGGTTCAGTTAGCTGCCGTGTGGACGACGCAGGTCTTCGGGGGGTGTTACTGAGCAGATTTTCTATTTCTGGGTCTCGCTTGCCTCCCTGGTCCAGCATCCCCGTTTTGCCTGCCTGCGACGGCACCAGCCCGGCAAGACCGCAGGCTCCGAACCTCCCAACGTGAACGGCCCGGCCCCGGGTGCAAGACAGGCTTCAAAGCGACACGACAAAACGCATCCTGTCCCAGCCGATTCTGTCCAGAAAAAAAAAAAGGGTACAGGATCCCAGTGACAAAGAAAACGGCAGATAAACAAGTGACAGGTTTGGGATAAAAGGGTAGATCACGACTTAACATGCAAGCGCCCAGAGCAAAATTCTCATGGCTAACAGGATCACCCTCGGACAACAGGAGGATGAGGATGGTAACGTCAGTAGCAGTGAATCCATCATTCTGAGGAGAGGCACAATGGTGATAACATCTGATTATTACAGACGGCGGACTGATTAGTCCGACAGACATGCAGTATGGTGTGCGGTTGTCAACTGCCTTAAATGACATCAAATCTAGTGAAGCATTTTAGAAAAAAAAAAAGTGACAGAATGCCTTGACGTCTCATCCGATAGGAACCACAGGGGATGTGAAGGAATTTCAATGCAGTAACGACATTTAACTGCTGAATAATTAACTGCCACACAAGCCGCCGCCGTTACTCATAACAACGGCACTAATAAAACCCCGAGATCCTGTCTTTCAGTTCATAGAGGAAATTATACACAGAAGCAGAAGTCCTCTGAAGTGAGATTAACAAAAATCGCGAATGGATCTGGGTTAATTCTGCTTGATTTCACAGCTATTGAAATGAAATAAGAGTCACCCAAAAGGCTTTTCTTAAAAAGAACAGTAATGTACTATCTGCCTGGCTGGTACGGCACTTCGGACAAAAGCATCCACTAAATAAATAAATGTAATATAATTAACACACACCCAGAAACAGTATGGAGGGGCTCCGATTCTGCTGTGGGGGGGTGGTTCTCGGTGTCGCTGGTCGGGGTTGAGGGAGCGGGAAAGTGGAGCGGGGAGATCGAGGGGCATGGAGTCGTCTCATAGGTGTGCGGATTAATTTCTTATTAAGGACGGAGTCGCGTGGTACGTCGGGGAGAAACTGCAGCTCAAAATCGGGGCAAGACGACGATCTGGAAAGTACTAGGGGCTCGGAGAGTCTGGGACCATCGGGGAACGGGCAAAGCTGCTCCTTCATTACCATCCCCCTGTCCCCCCCACCCCCCACTAATCCCTGTTTTCAGAGGTTTAATAAAAGAAAGTGAGCCACCCCCCTCAACCACCCTCACCACCCACAACCTCCTTCCCCCAACTTCCAATATCCTTTTCTATTAATGCCCCCCAACAGCAGATTACAGCGCACAGACTCGAATGGGCTGTCAGACAGCGGCCCCCCTAATGAACCTTATAGTGATACGATGTGACACATCACAGGGGACAGGTGCGTAGAAGCCAAATTACACAACCGCTCGTCTGGAAATGAATCTGGGGGTGCCGTCCGGGGGCTTACACGCTGCTCCCACCGGCGTGTTCAATCCGGCGGACACTTTCACACGGAAATGACCAAACTCCGAGGAACCTCTGAGGAGGAGAAGCTGTAATTACGGCGGATCTATGACTCCGTATCATCTTCCCAAATGGATCTCTGGTGATTTCTTGCCGGGGACGATTCGATGGGATTGCAGGGTCAGAAAATGCCCCAGAATCATCCCCGGTTGTCATAATGTGGTGCCGTATCTGAAATGTACCAACAGGCTTAAAGTAAGGAGAAAGCAACTAATCTTTAACACCTACTCCCCACACCCAATCTGTTTCTTTACCTATGATAGCCATCTCCATAAAACTGGATTATCGGAGCTTTCCAAAAAGAAAAAGGAAAAGAAATCACCTAGATGCCAAGTCTGGGTGCGTAGAAAGATATAAAAAGTCAGTCTATTCTACTCATCCCACTAAAGTTGATTAGCATTCCGGTTTAAATCAATCTAAAGCGCTCAGCTGATTTTAGAGAAGACCAGCTGTCAGCGTCCACGAAGAGATAACGGGAAGTTGAATCATGCGCCGCCGAAACTCTACTTCCTCGTGCAGTTAAAAAGGGACTCAGCTTTTTGTGCAACACAGCAAGACAACTAAATGCAGAAGTTCAAGTCCTGCACCCTTCCACAGGCAGGATATTTAAAGAGGCAAGTCATTTCCGGATGATCAAAAATTACATATTCATTTTACCATATGCAAACGAGCGTTTCTGCATATATCCACTGGAGCGCCACGCCTAATAAAAGCCTTAAAATCTAATATTAAAAATAATACGTGGTATAACCGATCACTTCCTTAATATAGCGAGAACGGTGCATGGCGCTCCGCTTTGAAAGCCCTGCGCAGATCCCGACTGGTAGGTTCGCGTAATAGTTGCGGAAGTTATTTCTCATCGGCCACCCGAAACCCATCCAGAACGAGCACCGACGGACCGGGCAAAAAAGGTTCAGGGGAGGATGGTGTTAATCAGATCGCCGAGCCTGCATGTCGGGCACGGGGAAGTGAGGCATGCTGTTTCCATCAGGGTCAACCAAAGCCCGATCCGACATAATTATACCCCTAAAATATTATCATTAAGTTACCACCGCACACACGTCCCCGAACCACCACCACCCGATTAACTAGGGGCGCAGAAATACGATCAACCCGCAAGAAAACCTCCCTTCATCGCGCCGCCTTTCTCGCACAACTTCCACTATCACCCTTCCGCCTGCAATGCAGCCCGCATCGAGATCAAAACAACAATAAAATGCAATAAAAAAAAAAATCAAAAAATAAAAAAGATGCATGTCGACGTTGGGGGTAGCCCCCCTACCTTAAAACGTTCCAGCTTTTCAGGGGATCCAGATCTGAAATTATAGATACCATTGTGAGCCGGTGCTAGGGCTGCGACAGCGTCTTCCAAAGCGTCTGCAGATGACAGTGGCGCTCCGATGCGAGTCGTCCTACTTCTCCGGCTGATAAGCGCTTGTCACAGCCTTCCCTCCGCCTCCCCCCTCCCCCAGAATAAACCTTGCGCTATACTGCTCCCTAACCGCACCTATATATTATACGTTGTCCACCATGCTTTTAAAGCGCCGTTCAGTCCCCTAACCTGACACACTGCATTACAATTACAACTGAAACATATATATTTTTTCTATATCTTTTATCCGGAGCGTCGTCATTAAGCTCAGCTATTAACAACGGCGCCTCCTTATCCGTTTTTTAAGAAACATACGCAACCCTTCGTACACAGTCTCCCCTCCCCGAATGAAGCGACAACGCCAGTTTTTAGCATCCGCCGACTGACATGTATTAATGCTAATTGCGTAGCCTTTAGCCCCCTCCCCCACCCTAAATTTCCTTATTTTCTTGCTGCTTGTCCCCTTTTATAATCATTATTAATCGCCCCAAGTCAGTTTTTTCTTAGATATCAAAGCAAAGTTGTGTACTTATTTCTTTTATTTATTTTATATTTCTCTATTTATGTACTATATATCTTCATTTGGCTGTTTGTGTCCTTTGGTTAATAACACGGCATTCCTGCTTATCGGGCGAAAGCATTCAGATAATAGCTTCTCAGATCTTAAAGTGTGTGTGTGTGTGTGTGTGTGTGTGTGTGGTTGGGTTAGAAATCAGTTTAATATCAATATTAATGTTCACTTGGTTAACACAGTAATTTCAGAATCACAAAGTGATTCTAAAGTCCATAACTCCCCTTTAATCACTCACAATTTTCATTTGTCCATGGGTATTTTATAAAGTGATTATTTAATTATCCTTGAAGGGATTAAATAATGTAACAAACAAAGTCAGTGGCTATGAACTGTCTTCAGACATTTTAACACAGTTCCCATTGGGTCTCTTCACTGTCAGCTTAAACTTCCTGTTAGTGACAGTGACCACATCCTGTTGACAGTTTTTCTCACTCACCTGCTCTTTTCTTGGCCACGCATTTGCCGTAGATGACTTTCGCTTCGGCGCTTGGTCACTCCCCCCCCCATGCCCATTCACGTGACATTAACACAGAGGGCTCCACCGAACAGACTTCACACCAATGCAGTGCGTATATGCTAATAGCCACACAAATCTGAAAAGGACCTCGATCTCAGGAAAACAATAACTAATTTATGACAATGTCCAGGGCTGGATTTAGAGGGGTGTGATTTTAGTCATGGTTGGGGCCCTAGCTGCAGCATAAAATGCCACAGTAACAACTAGAAAACAAATTCCCAGGGCTCAACTCCCATGCATAAATCTGGCCTTGACTGTGCGTGTCACGTGTCCTAAAAACACAGGACAGTAACGCCTGAGGACAACTGCAGCACTCAAGTCTCCTTCCATCATTTATATAATCCAGCTGTGTCCCACGCAGAATAATACACTAACTGGCACATGTGATACAAAAGCACATGTGTAACACGCATGCAGATATAGGTAACATCCCTTCTGCTCTGACATAATAGCTGGAGATGTCAGGCATTGCATTTACTGCGTGATCATCCACAAACCAGCCTAAAAGCGATATCATATGCATGTCGGCTTCGTTTGTGTTTCAGGAGTGCGGCGATGGGAGGTTGTTGCTTTTACTGTGTGTCCTGTACATTCATTTCCCATTGTATCCATTCTCCATAACTGTTTATTTAGTGCAGGGTCACGGTGATCCAGGAGCCCGAAGCCCATCCAGGCGGCACAGGGGACCAAAGCAGAGGACACCCTGGATGGGATGCCAGTCCACCTTGTGACACCCACCTACACACAGCCCCACATTAAGGTTAAGTCTAAGACACAGATTCAGCTAAAAGGCATGTTTTTGACCCGCAGGAGTAAACCAGAACTCCTGGAGGAAGTCTACGTGTGCATGGTGGAGCTCCAGGTTCCAAGCTCCACACACAGAGTGGGGGGGGCGTTGTTCTATACAGATCGTGGGATGGGCTCCCAGTCTGTCGGAAGGGCATACACACCACAGGCAACGATGTGGGAGGGAAGCAGGACACAGAGGAGCGTGTGCAAACTGCACACAGGGCTGGAATGGAACCTACAACCTGGAGGTGTGAGGCTACAGCACAACCTCCACAAACATCGATGTCATCTGGAACAATGCTTGGTTTGCATAAGTGCAGGTACCCTGGAATGCTCCTTTTCACATATTCCCGTCTTACTCTCCTTTAACACACACACACACACACACACAGTTGAAAGTGCAGCACTTCTGGAGCATTTTGGGGGTTGTTAAGGGCCAGAGATGGAATTCAAACCAACAACCTTCTGATCACACACACAGGCTTAATCTGCTGAGCCTCACACACTCACCCAATTTGTTTTATGTGAAATGGTGTGCAAACCATCCCTGTTTTCAATGTCATTATGTGCAAGCCAGGAATGTTACATATGTAAATATATATAGCCTATTACCGATTCATTCATTATCATAAATTTGTTCATTACAGGGAGTATCATTTGATGCACATGCATTTATATACTGACCTGACCTTTTGTATAAATATTCATTATACTTAACTCAATACCCCAACATAACTCATCCATGTTGCCCTTGCGTCGACACACAAACCGATATGGGCGGTTACATACCTCTACACAATCTACCCACACACCGGGCAGGTTTAAACACACCAGCACCCTCACACATATAAATAACTCAACCCAGTTGCACAAACTATCAAAAATAAATCAGTGCTGGTTACATTTAATGTGAACCAATTGACCCATTTCAAAAACAGTCATAAATAAACACGGCTACCAATAAATATTTAAATGAATCATCCCAGTTACATACATACCCATAATTCAGTCTGTCCTGTTCCGCCTATAATGGATGCAAAATGTTACACATAAATGTATAAACAAACCAGCCCCGTTACATACAATATTTTTTAATTACTATAGCTATAACTGCATATATTAGCTCCATTTTTAATTAATCAGCCCAGTTACACTTATGATCATAAATAAATGAGCCAGGTTTCATGCGAATCAGCCTAGTTACACATGTAATTGTACATAAATGAGACCAATTTTAAACTAATCAGCCTGTTACACATGAAATTGTACATTAATTATCCCTGTTACACATATAGTCGGCCCATTTTCACTGATAATCATACACTAACCTTATCATGCTACGCACATAGTGAAACACAGATCTATGAGGTTGTATTTGTTGATGTGTCTTCTGTTCCTAGGAAATTTGAAATTAAAGTTCCAAGGGATTCAAGCCGTTATATCCTTAAGAAATGGCAGGAATGATCCAACGGTATGTAGGAATAAAATTGTTTCAGTTTAAAAAAAGAACAAGACATTCTGGCAGAATCAGGCTTTTTTTCAGAACAGACAATGCATTCTGCTCAGCTGTGCTAGGTTTGGTCCTTTTGGGTATCTGTGACATGCTCATACGTGATCATATTAGCAAGCTATTCTACCCCTTGGAAGCTCAGGAGATGTTCTTAATGAACCGATATACTAGATGAAAAGATGGCCACTTGCACATCACTGGCTCCTGGACAATCTAGTTTCCCTTTTTCCCCAAACTAGATCTGATGAGAGATGTGACAGACTGTGCCTACAGTATAAATATAGAGCTAGCTTCTGTCATGACAAACCTCCCTGTCTTCATTATCCCTGCGAAGTTTGATTCCTTGAATGTAGCCTAGATCTTCACACCTGCATGTAAGACCATATAAGACCAATGAGATGTTTTTTTGAATTTCATCTGACAACCAACCAAAGGTGGCCCTGTCAAGAAGGCCGCTAACATCACAATATGTTAGGCTGGTTTACGTTAAGACCTGACATTAGTCGGGTTTATGGCAAAAATGCCAAAACAGAAACTGAATTTATACTTTAAAAGCACATTGAATGTGAAGGTCTAACCACTGTCAGTAACATAAGTCAGTATCTTGAAGACAATGTAAGCAGTGTTCACGGCTGGAGTGAGTCTGGCTTGAATGTGTTGGGAGAATGTTCCAGATTACTTTGTGTTACATGAAGAAAAATCAGGACCTGGATTCCATCGTGGGGGCTGAGCTGGTGGAATAAATCTGACTGTCAGGTCTTCTTTTGTGGGGGGGGGGGGGGGCGGGACAAGGGAAGGAAGATAAAACATGGTCAGTATGGGGCATTCATGCATGGTCAGAACCCAGAAACAGAGAAATATTATTGGCATGTCTTGTAGGGTTACTGGCTTGCTTAGGGATTGATAACCTGCTTGTCATCACGGATGTGCTGCCCATGGACCCAAAGCTGTCCACGATTGGTCAAGCATTGAGAGTCACATGGGCCTGTCCTCCTCTTGTTGTCGGCCATGGTTGGTCTGCACTGCTGTGACGGACAGTCTCCCTGTGGGAATATCAGTGCGGCAAATTGAGCCCTCTGTCTGGCCAACTTGAGGTGGTGGGGGGGGTTAGGACTGCTGTACTATACATCTGTGACTCACACACATTACCCGGGGGGGAGGTGGGGGTGCAGAATCACTGGTGATCACAAACAGGTTGGTAGCTATATGTGTGTGTGTGTGTGTGTGTGTGTGTTTATCGGTACTAAATACTATGAAATACATTACAATAGGCATCTGTTCAGCCACAATTCCTGACAGGGTCACAGGAAACCTACAGCCAATCGGAGGCAGCCCTGGGCTGAAAGCTGGGGTAAACCATGGATGCAATGCCTGTCCATCACAGCACACACACACAGCAGCCCTTTAGACACAGCACTCACTCAGCCCAACTGCAGGGTCTGCAGGAGGAAATCCATATAAGACAAATCTACAAGGATGCACACAGAAACACACATACACACATTTGTATGCAAATCTTTCTGGGTACCATCCATTCATTTCTATGAGAAAAAACCTAATTCTAACAATGATAGCCTTAACTCCTACCCAGCCCTAACCTTAACCATAAATAACAAAACAAAACACAAGAATTTTGGCATTTTGAGTTTTTTGATTGCAGTCACAGATTTTTATAAAATTGAGTTTCCCCTTGTGGGGACTGAAAAGGTGGTCCCCCCAACATCACAACATCAAAATAGCATGTTTCTATCACATTGTGGGGACATTTGGTCCCCACAGGGTAATATGTGCATGACGCATAGACACACACCCCAAAACACATAGAATGCATGCAGAGAGAATAAGTAGACAGGCCCACATACACATCAGAGGTGGGATTCAAACCCATAACCATGAACGGGAGAGGTTACTGCAGTATCCACGGAACTAACAACAACACATTAGTTTCATTTGATTTTATACTCTATCCATAAGCAACCTTTAGGGATTATGTGTGTTATTTACTTTGCATGTGTAGAAATTTATAATGTGCTGTGTGTGTATGTGTGTGTGTGTGTGTGTTTCCTCCTGTCATTAGATGGACCGCAGAGGTGGAAAGTTCAGGTTCAGAAAGTAAAAATCCAGACCAAGATTTTGCATCTACCAACCAGTTGAGTATTCTGTGAATGTGACTCTTTATACTCAACTGATTGGTTGAAACAAAACTGGATTTGGACTTTCTGGACCTCAACATTCCACCTCTGATGGACCGGTATTCCTTCCATGGTGTCCACTGTCTGGTGCCCTGTGACTTTAGGTACCGGCTCGAGGCTCATGGTGACCATGACACTGATGCACGGGGTTTAATGACACACAAAGGTGGTACTAATGTAGAATTAGTGAGCCATTGTGACAGAACCCTTCCCTGTGACTCGCTGCTCCGGCTTGTCCGATGGGCATATTCTGTTTTTTTCAGAATTTAAATTGGAAAGAGAGGTGGCCGGAGAGATGAGTGTGTGGCTGATCAGGAGGTGTGGCCTTCCGAGGGATGGGGGGGCTGGGCAGGGGAGTCAAGTACCAGAGACAGTACGGGAAGAGTGAAAGGGTGAGGGGGCGGGGCTACTAGGGAAGGGCTGTTCAGGAAGAGAAACAGAAGCTGCACCCGCAGCCAGCGAGGGGCTATCGCCTGCTATCAGGGGTAACAGGGCAGCTAGCGGGCGCCTCGCCAGTCTGTCCACGTGCAACACGTTCCGGGTAGGAGCATCAGTGGGGGGAAGTGATGCAGCGGGCTGTGTCTGGTGAAAACGTGTGGGCTGTAGAGACTCGTGTGATCAAGTGCGAGAAATCGCTCTGCTCGGCTCACTTTTTCTCGCTCTCCTCTTCCCTCTCTCGCCTTCCTCTTTCTTTCCTTCCTTGTTCTCACCATCCCTCACTCTCTTCCCTCTCCCTGTCTCTCTCTCACTTTCTCACTTCCCTCTCCTGTTCTCCTTCTCTCTGCCTTGCTCCCTCTCTCTCCTCCTCTCTCTCTCACCTTCTCTCTCCCCTTCTTTCTCTCCCTCTCTCGCACTCTCTTTCGCTGTTGCCTCCTGGCAGTTCCGCAGAGAACACCCAGCGTGTGTCTGCAGCCACGCGGCTGTTGGGGAGGGTGCGGGCGGTGGGTATCGCTCGCCCTCACTTCCTGCCATCGCGTCCCAGCCGCCCTGCTCGTCCCACAGCCTGCCGCATGCATGCAGCCCCTCCGCGTTGCCCTCTTGTCTCTCTTCCCTGACTTCCCCACTCTCTGCTGCCCTCTCTGCACTCTCTCTTCTCTCTCTCTCTTTCCCTCTCTCTCTGTCGTGGGGCATCGGTCAGTCACCCTCCTCAGAGCGTTAGCTTGGCAGCACTAAAGCCCCCACCCCACACCCCTTCACTTCCCAGCCAGCTCTTATGTTATTAACGTTTTGTAAGTGGTTTTCACGTGTGGCCATTAAAAATGGCTGGTAGCAAATCAAAGCAGGTTGTCCGGCGATGCCTGGGGTCCGTGTTTCTCCATGACCCGCTGTAGCCTCCTTATTTTGGTTGTTGAAGCTGAATAGTCACTGACAGGTGAAGAACGACGGCAGCTTCACTCTTACCTCCTAGCGTTACTTCATCTTAGGTTACTCAGGCCTTTAGCTGACCAGCTTATCCATCGTGAGGCAGCCAGATCCACTGAGTACCAGCTTGTGACCAAAGCAGTGGTGTGGGCTTCGGGTGGGATTAGTGGGCTTGGTTTCCACTAGAGAGTCTGCTTCTCTCACCTGGCAGATGGGAGCCGCCCATCCCTAGCCAATCAAGTTGCGGGGGGAGGGATCAGCATGGCATAGCTCCGCCCACGTGTGTTTTTGAGTCGCGCTCACAGTCAGCAGGGGTCCTCAGGCTGCAGGATTTGCATGTAAGCACTTTGGAATACACACACACATATGTACGTGTATGTTCATACGTTCATATTTAAGCACACATTTGCACGTACATTGTATTATGCATAACCCACTATTACTGTTGGGACTCTCCATTCATTATTATAAATGTCCCCACAAGGTAAAAAGTAACAGGTTTTACCACATTTTGGGGGCATTTGCTAAAAACAAACCCACACAAACTCTACACCCCAAAACGAGAGTTGGAATACATAAGAAGGAGAACAAGCTCACTCTAAATTAGTGATTTTACTTTTTTTTTTTCTATTTTTGCCTTTTCTATAATTTACCTTTTCTTACACAGTAGCTGGGTCTCTGTAAACCTTCCCTTTTTATTTAAATGAGCAGCTGAATGTGCTTTTAAGGTCCCCGGTGCAGCAGAGCTGCAAAGGCGTTTTGGCAACGACAGCAAATGGCAGGTTTGTATTACTATATTGTATTCGGCTGCCTGCGTTCCTGTGAAGAGGCAAACGGGCATTAATAATGGAGGGCAGCGCAGCGACCGCCTCAAACATTTACACTGTGTCGGTATCACAGCTACTTTTGTCCGAAGTGCTGGCAACAAGTGAGGGAAGCTAAGGGTCAGAGAGCAGGATCAGCCAGGGACCCTGCAGCTGTTGGGGTTACTCCTGCAACTGTGGGATTCAAACCCACAACTATCTGGACATATAATGCTTTTCCACTTCCACCAAATATCAATCCATTCCCAAGCCAAACCACGAAGAGGATTTCCATCATAAATTAAGCCAGCTGTACCCGAGCTGTACCCACTGTGACATGAATGCATGACCAAACCAAGCTGGCTGCGTCGCCAGCATCTGATTGGTCGAAATACATGGAGATAAGAAAGAACTGGCGATCTGCATCAATATGCATGAATTAGTAGTATCGCACATTGTGATGTATTGATCCATGCCCAGTAACTCGGAACTTGAACATTTCCAACCTCCTACTCCTAGTCCTAGAGAATGGCTGAACAGAATGAATTCGTAATGCAAATTTACGCAAGTTAATGCTAATTCCACTAGTGTTTGATGATAACATAAGACAGAGATTCTCACAGATGTGCTAGCGGAAATGAGCACACAGTAAATCATGATGTACACCGTGTGAACATTAAATAAGCATCTCTTCGGCAGTGTGTGAAATACCTGTCAGTATTCGGGGTGGGGGGGTCCCAATCTCCCTATTGTTATGCAATACTGATCTTGAGGCCCCCTTAAAATTTTGTTTTGAGGCGTTCAGGGGGTCTCATGGGTTATTCGGGGATGTCGGACCCCCCTGGATTTCGCACACTGCTATTCGTCACTGTCGCTTTCCAAGCCCGGCATTGCCTTTACTGAGCCGACGTGTTTGCAGTGGAAAACCGAAGTGAGCTGGAACCGTGCTGTAACTGGTCTCTTCGGCGTACAGCTTAGGTGCAGCTCGCTTCCTGTATCCCAGTGGAAAAGCACCAATAGTCCCAGACCCCCCACCTGCTGAGCTACAGACCACCAAATGCCTCCCATGTTGGGGGCTGGATCCCAGGCTCTGTGTGGCGTGGCTCTGCACGTTTGGGTGCGTAGGGCTCGTCTTGGCATCCTATTACCCCCCGCAGCCCAAACACACATGGCCAGGTATAATGGGTTCTCTAAATCTCCCAGACTGCGCCATTGTGTGTGAGAATGTACCTCATGATGGACTGGCACCCTCTTCATGGTCCTCTTCCTGTGCCTTGTGCTTCCTGGGACGGGCTCCAAGATCACCACGAGCCAGGACTTGAGAAGCAGTTACGGAAGATGGATGAACAATTAGACAATTAGTACAATGTTGGATAATTGGGGAACCTTGGGTTACTGAATGGGTATTTGGCTCACACCCTTTCTGGTAGAGTTGGGGGGCTTTTAAGATCCACAGTACATCATGAACCTAAGTTAGTGTCTCATTTGGGGGGCAGCCTTGGTGACACCAGTAGGTAACAAAAAATGGTGCAGAGGAACTGCAAGCAGGGTGACTCGGATGAAAGGTGATTCGGGGTGTGTGGCAGAGTTTGACCCCACAAAGGTCCAGATTTCCACCAATATTTAACTGGAGACCGTTACAGCCTGTGATCAATGAGCAGCCAATTAAGTAGATGATACACTGAT